GTCCTGCCTGATAAAGTCTTGAGGCAGTTCAGCACTGACTGAGCACGTTCCTGAGTGAGGCGTGCTGTCTGGCTGACCGAATCCAGCTCCATGCCGAGAAAAGAGATCCTCTGCATTGGCACAAGTTTGCTCTTTTCCCAGTTGACCCAAAGACCCAACGGGCTGAGGTGTCTGAGCACCAGGTCCCTGTGTGTGCACAACTGATTGCGAGACTGTGCGAGTATGAGCCATTCGTCGAGATAGCTGAGAATGTGCACCCCCCGTTCTCTCAAAGGAACAAGGGCTGCCTCCACGACTTTGGTGAAGGCGCGAGGCGACAGGGACAACCCGAAGGGCAGGACCTTGTACTGATATGCCCGACCCTCGAACGCGAACCACAGGAATGGCCTGTGCCGCGGGAGGATCGAGACATGAATGTACGCGTGCTTCAGGTCGATCGCTGCAAACCAATCTTGGGGACGGATGCACTTGAAAATGCGTTTCTGCGTCAACATCTTGAACGCACGGTTCAAAACTCGCAGATCCAAGATAGGTCGTAACCCACCGCTTTTCTTGGGCACAATGAAGTAAGGGCTGTAAAACCCCGACCTCATATCGGCTGGAGGGACTCTATCGCGTCCTTCGCCAGCAGGACTGCAATTTACACACGCAAGACAGGGGCATCGACAGCCTTGACTGAAGTGAACCGGATGCCCCTGAACTTGGGGGGACGCCGGGCGAACTGAATCGCATAGACGAGTCTGATGGTCTGCAGGAGCCACCGAGACGGACTGGGGAGCGCTAACCAGGCTCTGAGAGACTGTGCCAGAGGAACCAATGGAGCCACCGACGTACCCACAGTGGGGCAGTGTGTTGGAACACAGGGACTCGACCCGAGGCCTGTGACGGCCTGGCCTGTGGCAGAGGGCGGAGTCTGTGTGTGAAGTCTAACACTCACCTGATTCCTCCGTGTGCGGGAGAAAACACAGGGTCCTGGCTTGAGGCTTGTGACAGCCCGGTGTGTGACGACATGAAGCGGGGACTTGAATGCTACAGTCCCTACCTGGTTTCACGAATGGGCAGGAGGGGTGCTCTTGGGCAACCCACTGATGCCCGCTGGCGAGAGAGGAGGGGGGAAGTGACCCTGTGATGCACAGTTCACAACTCTCCTCCTCTTGAGACCCAGAGACTGAGGAAACCGCTCTTTTATGGAAGTTTTGGGTACAGCTGGCTGCTGGGCCAGCGGCGGAACAAAAACAAAACTAAACAAAGGATTCGCCACCCGGCCGTCCTCCAGAGGAGGGAGTGGTGCGGTTACCATCTCCCGACGAGCAGTCTCCTCCATCTCTGGGTCACCCATCTCAGGGCCTCTTGCACTTGTGCTTACCGCCAGGTTTGGCGGGGGCTTGGA